AAAAAAAAAAAAAAAAAAAAAGGTACCTCACAAGTTTTAATGTGTACGATAAACTTGAGATCTTGTTAATGCAGATTATCTTTTCACAAGATCTGGAATCATTTGATATTCTAAATTTCTAACAAGTTCACCAGTAATGTCAATGTTTTCGGCCCACTTACTGTCAAACATCCAGTAAGTGGATGAGCCCATGTTTTTCCCAGTTTCTCTGGCCTGTAAAAAGGGATGACAGTTTTCATTTTCCTAAGGCAGATACATGCACAGAAAACCTAAGAAAGGCAGCTGCCAGATTAAATGTTATGGTTTATGCACATCAGCAGCATAAAGATACTTCATAATGAAGAGAAAAATAATTATAGTAAAGAAATCTGTCCAAGAGCTCTTTAACCAAGTAAATCATTAACATCAACTGCACTAGGACAAATTTTTGTAATGTGCTGATGCACACAGAAAAATGCAGCATCACTGCTGTGATACTGATCTCAAAAGTAAATTAGAGTTTGAATTTAACCACAAAAAAATTAGTTTTATGGGAACTTCAAGATACAGATAATTCGTATGTTCTGTAATTTTTAATAGTGATTTTAAGTAGTCTTTCTTTAGCACCCTAAAGAGCAAGTATCCATCTCCTAATAATTTGTTTCAGAACTTTCTGGGTAATAAATGCCATTCTGTTTGAAAGAACATTTTGTTAATCGTGTTCTGCATAGAGCTAATGGAGAACAGAGATGGAACCTCAACATTACATGTTCTCCTTCTTTACTAAAGACCCCAACTTTTCCCCAATAGGAATCTTGAGTAGTCACACCTTCCCATGTTCAGCAGCCACAGAGGGAACATTTTTCATGTTGCAGATTATAAACTCATAATGAGATTTCTACATAGCATATAAAGAGCCATGACGTAGAGATGTAGAGAAGCCTCTGGTACGTAGGAAAAAACATTTTTCAGGGACCCTTGACTATCACAAGAATTTTAAAAAGTAGTTAAAACAAACTCATTAGGGAGAAACAACACAATTAGAGAAGTAAAGGTTTGCAAGAACTAAACGCATGGCATCCCAGGAGGCAGAGTGGACACAGCTCTCGATCTGAGACACGTTAAGCTAAAAAAAAAAAAGGCCATTTTTTCCTCCTTCTCCTCTTTCTCTGGGATTCCTTTTAAGATGAGATACTATGGACAAATTACACCTGCATGTTGGGAATATGCTTTTAAAGGTGTCAGCACCACCTGTTTACTTGCTACCACCACACCCACAGGCAGAAGGATCAAGACCTGCAGAAAAAGTCCACCCATTTTTGTCCTTTATAACAGAAGAAATTCAGGAAAAATAATCTGCTCCATGGAAATAAAAACGTAAGTTTCCGATCAGGTACGGTGGCTCACACCTATAATCCCAGCACTTTGGGAGGCCGAGGCGGGTGGATCACGAGGTCAGGAGATCAAGACCATCCTGGCTAACATGGTGAAACCCCATCTCTAGTAAAAATACAAAAATTAGCTAGGTGTGGTGGTGGAGTCCCAGCTATTCTGGAGGCTGAGGCAGGAGAATGGCACGAAACCAGGAGGTGGAGCTTGCAGTGAGCAGAGATCACGCCACTGCACTCCAACCTGGGCAACAAAATGAGATTCCATCTTAAAAAAAAAAAAAAAAAAGTAAATTTCCCTGTTCCTGTCCTAATGTGCCCTCCACTGCCACAGACACCAGTAATTTCTGCTACGGTGATGGAAATATGGGCCACACTGCCCTCTTCCTACCAAATCCAAATAGGTACAGCCCTGTGACCACCCTTTATTGCAAAAGAAAACTTAACTCTCAGGCTGGGCACAGTGGCTGACAACTCTAATTCCAGCACTTTGGGAGGTAGAGGCGAGTGGATCACTTGAGGCCAGGAGTTCAAGACCAGCCTGGCCAACATGGTGAAACCCTATCTCTAACAACAACAAAAAATTAGCAGAGTGTTGTGGTAAATGCCTGCAGTCCCAGGTACTTCAAAGGCTGAGGCAGGAGAATCACTTGCACCTGGGAGGTGAAGGTTGAAGTGAGCAAAGATCATGCCACTGCACTCCAGCCTGGGTGACAGAGCAAGAGTGGGTCTCAAGAAACAAAACAAAACGCAACTCAATTCACATGAATGTATCTTGAACAACTCATACCTGATTCTGTCTTCACCTTGGAGTCACATGAGAAACTTAACTAAAACAACATGGATGCTTCCACCCAGAGTAATAAACATGTGGAAAGGGCACGAGTAAAGAAATTTCTGCAAATTGGTCATGTAATCCTAATTAGAAGCCTGGGCTAATAACCACTTAGCTAAGCATTGCCTTCCAAGCATTGAGCTTATAAATCACTTGCTGATTTTGGCCCCACTCTATGTAATGAGATTCTGCAGGTTTGGAAAGGGTTCATGAATGGGTGTTTCAAACAAGTCCCCTGTGAATGCTCCTCCTGGGCTCGTTATTAGCATTAGTTAGAGAAAACAGGCACAGCACAGTCCCTTACACTCAGCATTCTTGTCACGACACAAATACTTCTAGGACAAATGAAGACAATCAACTTTCATATTCTTTGCTGGCTCTAAAGTTTACAGAACAAACAGAAGGCAGCCGTATCTGAATAAATCTGCATTTGAAAAACATTTTCACATGTACTAATGCAATGCTTATAAAGCAGGTACTGTGTGCTGAAGAGGATATTACAGAGCACTTTACTGGGAATTACACATGTGATTTAATCCTCACAACACCTTGGGAGCTGGTACTAAATGTTTAATAATTCTCAGGATTTACATTAAAAGTGCAGCATTTTTATTTGTTCTGTTTCTCTGTCACTGATTTTATTTAAAAATGTACAGAATAAAAGCTAAATACAGACAGAGAAGGATACAGAAAGGAAAAGTTTAATGTAGCTTAAATAAATTTTTATTGTGTTTATATTTATTTTTTTGTGACTTGTGGAGCAACTACTGCATCTGCAGGAATAGAAAACAGTTTGCTAAATGGAGTATCTCTGCAAGCACTGGTTTTAATAAAAATTTAATAATTAAAATTCATACATTTTTTTCTATTTATCTGCTTTTGGGTTTCAGAAAATTGTGTGCACTGGCTCTAGAAAGGCTGCAGGATTCACTATCCAATACTCTGATCTCTTCTAATCAGTTCTGTGAGACAAGGCTCCAGGGTGGGGCCAGACCTAAATAAGGCCTCCAAAAAGGGTGAATCTGAACAGGGCTGGGGCAGAGAGTGGACCCTATGTAGAATTCTGCTCTCTATGCCCCTGGGGTATTTCCAGTTCTGTTTTTCCTAAGTTTACCTAAAAGAAAACTAAATCACACAGTTGTGAAATTTTAATCTTTTGTAGCCACTGCCCTGTTAATTTTATAACATATGCTAATAAGCAATTTAAACAAATCTCTTAGGGTTTTGTAGGGTAATTTTATTAGAAGATAAATATGTATTCTTAGCAAGGTATAAGAAATAAGAATAAAACAACGCTTTTGTCCGTAAACATCCACTCAAATGATGACATCAGAAGTTACAAAAATATAAGGTTGCCCAAATAAACCCCCCCTTTTTTTTTTTTGCACACATCTATTCATTGTGCTAACCATATGATGCTTAATTCAACCAAGTTGAATTCAGTTGCTTGTCTAAATTAACAGTTCCTGGATGGTAGGGACAATAATGCTTCATCTATTTTTCTAATGGCCATATGAAATGGTAGCAATTAGTTTATCTGTTTGAGTCTCCAGACCTCTTCCTTGTTTTTCACTGATGTACCAGGAAACTGGAGAAACTCTCATCTGGGTACCAAGCAAAGACATCTCTTGTATGAGGGGAGGGACAAACACAGGATGACTCATTTCTCTTACACTGAGAGAGAAGCTGAATTAACTGTTTTTGTCAGCCTGACACAGTTCTGCTGTGGACATCCTCAAATGTCTGAGAGATGCCTAGGTGATTGTGAGAAGATTCCCAGTGACCCTGGGCTGATTGCTTAAGGATAAGCTAAGCAGGGCAGACTCAGGCTGATTCTAAATAGAAAATGGAACTGCCCTGGTGGACCTCCAGAACCTGGATCACCTGTCTTGATTGGCAAGCTCTTGGGTAGGAAGGACAAGAATACTCCAGTATCCTATTTTACAGGTAGGTATAGTTGTGATCATGGCTCTGGATACTTTGTGACCTTGATCTCTTACTCCTAAGATGCCTGTTTACACTTACAGATTCTGCCATCAGATTCTATTTACATCTGGAGCCTCTTACATTACTGTAGCAGGTCATTGAA